ACAGGGCAGCTTAATTCCCTATTTCTTCGGACTTCATACTGTAAGCCACCTCGTGCTTCCTTCCAGGCGTCTACTGAGCTCGATTCTTTGTTCAGATCAAGACCCCGTCGGAAGAGTGGGCATGGGTCCTAGTCCTTGAGTTCATCCCAGGCGACACCTTGGAAGCCGCCGAACGGAAATCGGTCCCCCTCATCCAGGAGTTTGTGAGCCCGGCTCTCTCACTTCCGTTTGCGTCTTCCTCATCTAAACTGACAGTGTACCCTTGGTATCGAGTCGGTCAAGGAAATGGCAGATAGCGGCTGGCAACTTGCAGATCTGCAGAACCCTGCCAACTTCATCATCACTGGCCCCGGCGAAACAAGAAAGGTTGTGCTCATAGACCTGTTTGGCGGGTCGCCTTGGACAGGCCCCAACGTGGAAGACCTCGTCATACGGGACATACGGCGATTCTACCAAACTCTGTGTGATGCTGTGTGTGGCTGGCATTCCTATTCCGAAATGGACATCTGGGCGACGGAATCCTTGGGATTATCATACCCATACTTGACGGTCCCCATTTATAAATTATCAGGTTCGCACCCATCTTTTCGACCGCTTGACTGTCCTTCAAGAGTTAACTGTTTTTATCCAGAATTCGAACCTGTTGATATGCCTTTGATTTAGTTCAATACATATCTTTGCAGTAATCTATGATAAACGCGATAAATTCCTGAGCAGTCCGAATTCCAGGCTCTGCCAAAATACAACAGGAAAGATCGCGAATCTGTTTCCCGCTTGCGTCGGGCCCCAAAAACTGTGAGGCCATGATCTTGATACGGGAGGGCGGAGTTGTTTGAAAACTGCGGTGCATGTCGCTTGTGTCGGAGAACCGAGCACTTGGAGTATTAAATCATGAAGCGACAAAAACTCCCCTTCAAACATGCTGTACGCCCTCCGTGGGGCTCTAACCACTAAGAACTGTCGACGCGTATCATTGCGAGTGGAAGATCTATCGCTGATTTACGAGAGCATGATGATGGTTGAATACTGGTAGGAGTCGATTGAAAACTGTGCATGTGACGAGCTCACACAAGGCAAAAAATATCACACATGCGGAACGTGAAGGAAGTGGTATGACGGTCACAGAGGACTTTGTTACTTGAGGTCAGCCAGACTGGTAAAGAAAAGCTCATCTAGGATTCAAACTGTCGTCTTGAAGTGCTTTCTTCAAACCTTAGGGGGGGGGGGGGGGTTGTATTATACTCGCATGGTCCAAATGACTGTCTAGAAGTTATTTCTCATCAGATTCCTCAAGAACCGATCATTTAGAGACCACTGTCATAAGTGGTGTCATCGATTCGGTGGCTGCATTCTATACAAAAGCCTGTAAACTGGCAGTATCGAACGAAAATCAATTGTTCGGCACTCAGTGTCGAGCTCATCTCACCCCGGTCAGCGGACATTGTACATCTCGTGCTTGTTGTTTCCATGAGTGAATCTGCGCAGCGAGCAATGCAGAATGTTTGAACCCCGGAGATGGTGGAATCTTTTGGAGGTTGAACATTCCCCACGTGATTACGGTTGAATTTGAACATCGATCACTTTCATCTGCGAGACTGGTCAGAAAAGAGTAACGAGAATTCCTAGATCCAAGTAAGTTACTCGCCAGTTGAAGGTCAACATTGCGACAGAGAATGATACCAGTGGGCCGGCCCATTACACGCACATACGCAATGTCGAGCCCTAATTGCGGTTCCTGACCTTGGGATACTTGGGGTTGAGTTGAGCTAGAACTACAGACACGATATTGCAGTGGTCTGTACCCGGGTCTTTGAGTGAAGTGTCACACAAAATCGCCGCTCGGGATGTAAGCCTCAACCTCGAGTAGGTCGCGTCTGGTAATACCCATGCTATCAGAGTATGTGGTGCTTATAACGGAGGCTCGCACGCAACGTCACCCAAAGCATCTTCGAGTGTTTAAAAAAAACGGACTCCGCGTGCCGTGGAAGAATACCGTGTACGTCCTCCTTTCTGAGCAAAGGTTGTTTTCGCTTCGACTGAGTAGCACAAGTACGCTGCAATAAAATATGGACTACCAATGTTCCGGAGACCGTGACTTGCGATGGTATTTGGAGTACCCTGAATGCATGAGATATGCCAATGGGGAGTGCCGAGTCGATTCGGGTATTAAGAACTTGGCCCGAACAGAAGTTGTGTGTTGGTTGTGTGCACAAAAAAGGTTGGAAGGGGATTACTTATACGAAGCAGCCATCGCGCCGCTGATTGGCACGCTCACTGAAACGAGCTAAAAACGAAAAGTTATAAAATGAAGGAGCAGATGAACGAGGCTACATACTGGAGCCATCAGATTTAGATCCACTTCGCGAAGAAGAGCGACTCTTCCACGGCACCGGACGCGTTCAATCCGTCCAGGAAAGCGAAATCAAGCCCCTTCTCTCGAAGAGCGTTGAGGTCACTGAGCACTGCTGCGCCAGGACCAGAATCTATGCCGACGCACAGCACGGCACTTGTGAGAGTGCAAAAGCTATCTTCCCAGCGGTATTTTACCACCTCGCTAAATCTCCCGTAATCCAAGGACCCTTCGTGCATGCACCCAAAGGCCAAGTGGCGTAGTTGGGGGGCCACTACACTGCTTCCCGACGCTTGTTTGTCGAGGATGTCGAGTAGCACTCCAGCTGTGGCACTTGCGGCAGGGGTATCCGCTATGATTGCGAGGTCGACGATGGAAGGGAACTTGTGTAGGACCTCAGCGGCCTTGGGAGCATCAATGCACCCTTCGATGCAAAGCTTCCGTATACGACACGACGAGCGCATGAGCAAGGATTGGAGATTCACGAGGCCGTTATCGGCTTCTTCTGGTTGCAAACACATTGAGATTTCCTCCAGAAGGGGCAACTTGAGGAATGTTAATGCAAGGGGAGCAGAAACATATAGACGCCGAAGATACAACAGCTCTATGAAATCACTGGGTCCTGACCCACGGCTGTTGTTGAACGAAATGGTGATACATGCTTCGCGGAGATTTGTGCATAGCATCAGCATGCCCCGATGAATGTCCGACGGAGCGTCGAGCTCGTAACGGGTGAGCTGTTGCGTCGGAAAAGAGACCGGTATAAACCGGAATTCATTGTTCACGCCGATGTCCACGAGAGAAGGCGCTGTTTCGAAGCACCGAATGGATTCAGCGGCCGCCTGGCTTGTGTGATCAGCCCACTGGATCCAGAGTCTACGCAGCAGTGGGAGGCAACCTCGAAGGTCCGCCAGCAGGGGGACAAGAAAGGAAGTCAGGGTGAGACTGAGTTCCTCCCATCGTGATGCGTGCTTGGCCAAAGACTGGAAGATTTCGAGTTGTGGACGAGTGTCAGAAGTTTCATAGCCATGGAAATGAACTTTCAACGTGTGAGCACGCGAGATCTGGGTCTCGACCATGGCCACGGGGTAAGAAGCTGACGGGTGAGAATGGTAAGCAATAACCACAAGTGACCATAGAGAGGGATTTGAGACAGAAACCGTCCTCCAGCGACGGCTGACGTGAGTGAATACCCATGGGCTATCTGTGATGCGAGATTTTTGACGTCTGCATGTATCTCTAACCGAGAGCAACGTCCACCCAAATATTTCAGAGAGAATCTCGGGTGGCATCCGCCGGAGCGGGGATAATAATGCGCAATTCTGCGCTCGGAAGCGCGACAGGGAGCCTTGTTCTTCCTCCAGGCGTTGCAAGCGATCCCGGAGCTGCGCTATCTCGTTCTTGAGATAGGTCAAGCGGTCATCAGCTTCTGAGATCGCCGACTGAGCAAGGGCAGCCTCCGTGTCAAGAGGCGGTTCGTTCGAGTTCAAAAGGATGTGGTGTCGTGTTCCTGGGGCAGCGTCCATCCGTCGTGCTCCTGGCGCAGGCTCCGTCTTCGAAATCACCTCGGTCGCACCGACCACAACAGCACCACATCGGTAGCATGGCAGTGAATCCATCTGGGTTGTGTAGATGAGCGCTGGAAACAAAATCATTGCGGAGTCTTTCACCTGAGCGCGAAAGCTCGGAAAACGACGGTGGCCGTTAGAACAGAAAGTGTGATGGCACGGGACAAGCGTGATTGATTTGATGAGTTGATCTCTGATGGCCGTCGTTCTGCCGCAATGTTCAACTTCGAAGGAGAGAGAAAATGGATGAATGAGGCGCGGAGCTTGGTCTGTTAGTGATGTACGAGTCACCGTGCAATGGAGGTGAGGTCAGTGAACGGGCGAGGTGAATTGGCCTGCTCCGACATATGACAGGCCGCCCACTTCTTGCTTTTTGCTCTCCTTCTCTCGTGGGCTATCTCCGAGATCTTATAGTCAACTTACCGTGAGGCTTGCAAAACATCTCTCCGGGTCCCCGGGGTGAAAACTAAGCACCCGCGGGCACGGGGCGCTGCTTCACAAGGTATTGGGAGATTGTGCCACTATGCCAGCGGTGTAGGCATTCGAGTCTTGCTGAGTTTCAGACACAAAAAGGCCCTAACCCGGAATTGAACCGGGGACCACCTCGAGGTTATGGAGAGACCCTAACAAGGTATCATACTACTAGACCATCAGGGCGTGCCCTACACACTTCAAATGAGGTCCAACTGCGGTATGTCAGCGTCTTCTAAAATGCAAACCTCAATTCAACCTCAATCCAAGTAAACCACTGCCCTGGTTCAAGGTGGATGGACGCAGAGAATTATGGTTTCTAGATAACACGGCACCGTGATCCCCCATGTTGGAGGTGGGATTCAGGGGGTGTCAATAAATACGGACAAGCAGGCAAAACACAGAAAGAAAAGCTTGATCAACCCATGCCCTCGATCTGAGTCAAACCCGCGTCAACCAACTGCGAACCGTTATAATATTTGAAGTGGAGGATCCACCGCTAATCTACGAGGGCACCGTCACAGGATTCAACGTTTCCTCGCCGACTCTGTCAAAAACACATGTGTAGCACCACAACGCGCCAAGAAAAATGATTATCGACCCAATGCACATGCCCTCGATGGGAGTCGAACCCATGTCGTCCACAGAACGGATGTCGGCCTTTTCAACGCGCGTGGATGATCTACCGGTGATCTACGAGAGCTTTGACAGGTGTGAGTGGTAAATTGGGATCCTGGTTGAATAGGAGCAAGGAGGGTTCCTAGATACATACATTTAACATAAGCAACAACTCGAGCCGTCGTGTCGAAAGGTCAGGGAGGAGGGATTCGGAAGGTGTAGACAAGACACAAAAACACCCAAAAAGTCTCACCTCCTTCATGCCCTCGGCGGGAATTGAACCCGCGTCGTCCACGTAACTTATATAGCTTTTTCTGTGCAGAGCGGATGATCTACCGCTGATCTACGAGGGCAACGTCCGCGGAGACATGAATAGTCTTCCTGATTCGGCGTTGCAGACTTCAGCTGGGAAGTAAAAGTTCTGGTCTATCAAACGGTTGAAAAATACTGGTTATGTTCTCCATCTCTCGTCTCACATCCAAGGAGTGACTGACATATAAATGCACCGACCCAAGGCTCATGCCCTCGACGGGAGTTGAACCCGCATCGTCCACATAACTCCTGGAAATGTTGCACAGTGAATGTGGAAGATCTGCCACTGATCTACGAGGGCGTGCTTGTTTGAAGAGTTGCGTATGCCGCATTGAAAGGGAGAAGAAAGGCGATGCAAATCAATGAGTTCAGGGCTTCAAAGACGAAGGAGAGAGAAGGAGAAAGGTGTGGAACAGTGGGCTGGCTTCCTTGAAACCACGAGAGCCGCGCTTGATCTGAGTACTTATGGCTATACTGGTTGAATCCCCAGGCGCAATTTCAGGGCTCATAATGACACGAAAAATCACCAATGTACTCCTGACTCCGGACCGAGATGAAGGCGGAGCCCTGCACGCTAACTGTTCCGGAGGCTTAGATTATCGGAGCTTTGGATTCAGGTGAATGTTGAATTTACATCGTTGTGCCGAACACCGGTCGGTACTTACTAGTATGTGTGGCAGATATGCCGCTGAGCTCCGCCGAAGAAACAAAATGGTCAGACTGTATCCCAGAGGGAGGAAACCCCCCACACAGAGAATCATCGGGCAGGAAGGAGAGCGAAAGGCTTAGGATATGGTTTTCGGCATTCGCTCGGCATCGTCTCCGGAACAATTGGTGGCAGTGCATCAGCGGCATGATTTTCCTTCGAGTCGACCACGACCATCCGGTTTGAAGAAACCCCTTGGGGGACGCTATACATGCAGTCCTTCTGCGCGTCCGCACTCGCTGTGTACCCGTCCTCAGATGAATTCGTTGCGCAACTTACAGAACGACCCGATGAAGGGTAGAGAATTGGCGCGCAAATCCTAATCTTGCCAAAAAGACTCTGGGAGCTCTTCTGCGGGTTCTAGGCTCGCCAGGACTGGTAGCAACTAAAGAGTACGCAATGGGAGATCCTGCCCATAGTTTGTTGAATGCATCACCGTCTCAATATCTCAGCTTTCCAGATCCCATCGTAGCGATGGCTGTAGCCAAGACTCAGCCCATGCGCGCCCAAAAGCTGGACCTGCTAGACACGTCCTCGTCATCCCAACCATGAAATTCGTAGCCTTCGCCTCAAGCTAACGACAAGCCTCCTGCGCCTTCGCGCCGCCCAGCGCATCTTCAAGCAGCGCCTCGAAGACGCCGAAACCCATGGTCGCCAAGGTCCGTACCAGTGCCACTTCCCCCGTCCCTTCCCCCGTCCCTTCCCCTCCTCCACTACTAAGTCCGTGAGTAGGAATGGTCCGTGTCGCTCTGGGAATCCTAGGCCTCCGGCCGGTCTGTGAAGTTCAGTGGATGGAATGCGCGCTCGTGCGCAGACGCAGACGGGTGCGTCATTTCCTTCCGCTTCGTCTCAAATAACGCAATTTACATTCCTGAATTCAGTGTGCTGTCGTACTGATTTCACAGTGTAGTACTCAGTCCTCGTGCGTCTCGCACGCTCTGCAGCCGCGCTCGTGGTGCCCATGCGCGCGGCCCAGCCGTTGAGCAGCGCAACGCGGCCGCGAACAACGTCTGCGTGGAAGACAGCATCCACCGACGCACCGCGAAGCCGGGATACGATCCGCCTGGAGTGTGATACGCTCCCCGCGGACGGATTTTGGTCCCTTGCCCACGACGAGTACCCAACAAATTGCGCGGCTCGAACGCCAGTATAGCGGAGTTGACGAACGAGCTGGACGCGAAGGCGATAGGGAATCGGACTTGGTTCGCGAAGCTGGTAAGTTTCGTCTCCCTCTTCCCCCTTCACTTCTTCCCCTCTTCCTTCATCCCTGTTCCCTTCCTCCTTCCCTTGCCGCTTCTCGCACATTGGATTGGCTAATGATGCGCACAGCATCAGTTTCCCTGCAAGCCTCCCGCTCCCGTCGCTCCCCGCCATCGCGCCCGGCGGCAGATGTGTACTTCCTCCGCTTCGCGCTGCGCACCGGCGGCGCCGACTCGGAGTTCTACCACGTCCGCGCACAAGTCACACCGGCACCGCCGTATACGTCGACGATCGGGCAGCATACGTCGATGTCTACGGTCTGCGGGGGGCGTATCAGCTCTCCGAGGTTATGCCGCTGTGTTTGTTGGAGCGGGAGTGCGGGGACGACGAGCGCGGGGAAGGCAGAGCACCACGAAGGCGTCGGCGACGGCGTTCAGCAACAAGGCAGCTAGTACACACGCCAACAGCATGACAGCAGCACGACGCACGCCGCCACCTGCTCCCCACATTCAGCGCCTCGCCGACGACGTGCAGGACGAGCCGCGCATTGCGTTGCACCGCCGACGGCATCTCTTGGAGGTAGCTGTTTTGCAGCACGCACGTTGCCTCCGCCTCCGCATCCGCATCCGCCCCAACCCAACACCAAGGCTTCCACGGAGACGCCCTTGACATGCACCGAGCCTAAAGGCGCGTATTCCACCAGCACGCATGCCGTCTCCGCCTCTCCGCCTCTTCGCACAAGCCTAGCACGAACGCATCACCCTCGCTGAAACCGCACACACGACTAGGCGCCGCCGGGCACTCGCGGACGCGGCACGCCGCACGCCCATCACGACCAACGGGGCGCGTCTTCCGCCAGCAGGACACACGTCACCTCTGCCCCGCGCCCAAGCCCACCAGCAGCGCCTCGGCTTTGCCGAATCACGACGGCGGCAAGCTTCCACGCAGATGCACACCAAGACGTGCGCGGCCAAAGGCGCGTCTTCCACCTCCAGGACGCACGCCGCCTCCGCCTCCGCTTCCGCACACGACGAAATATTAATAGGGCCTCTACGTAGATGAAGATCAAGGCCGTGTCTTTCACCAACCCAACGCACGTTACCTCCGCCTCCTCTTCCGCGCCCAGCACCAGCGCCCCACGGCCTTGTCGAAGACGTGCAGTACGAGCCAGACCAACGAAATTCGCCTTCTACGTAAGACCGACGGCGCGTTTTCTATCAGCACCATGCACACCGGCTCCACGACCAAGCCCGAGCCCAGCCCACCATGAGCGCCTCACCCACGTGAAAGACGCGCCGCGCCTCGTGCTGCCGGACACCGCGTCCACGCCCTCCGCTGCGTACACGCTCAGCAGCACACACGCCGCCTTTCGTGAGACTGCGCCGAGGCACACCACGAGCGTCTCGCCGAAGTGGTGCAAGACCATCCACGAGTCGTCGCCGGTGTGCACCCACGCCGCCTCCGCACCCAAGCTCACGTCCCAGCCCACCACGAGCGGCGGAGTCTGACTCTGAGCCTGAGGCGCGCACAATCCGAGGCGAGGCTCGCGGACGAGGACAAGCAAGAAGCCAATGACGTGGAGGAGATTATGCGCCACCTGCACCGTCTGAGCCTGAGTGCAACGGCGTCGGTCTGAACGCGCCGCTTCTCTTCTTTCACCGAGCCCCACCATGCCTCCGCGCGCAGCACCAGAACGCCCCAGCGAAGGCGTGCAAGATGAGCCGCGCGTCGCGTCGAGTCCGTGTCTGGGTCGGCGGCGCGGCGCGGGCGGAGGTGGAGGCGAAGGCGGAGGTGGATGCATGGAGAAGGAAGAGAAGGACAAGCGCTCACCCGTGCACCATGGGCATTGGCGCACGCGGAGTCAGACCTGGAGGGGGCACACGGAGGCGAAGTGCTTGGAGACGGAGGTAGGGGGCATAGAGGCGAAGAAGGAGAAGGGACAAGAATGTGCACCCTTTCCGTTCGCGCCATCTGCACCGTCTGAGCCCGAGTGCGAGGACGTCGTTCTGAGCGCGAGCTTCTTCCCAGACCATCCACGCGTCGCGGAACCCGATTCAGCGGCGCTCGCGGAGTCTGATCTGGAGGTGCGCACGCGATCAGAGGCGCAGGAGGCGGAGTACGCGGGAGAGATCTGGGGAAGGGGGAGAAGGACAGGCGCTCGCGCTTGCGTTATCTAGTGCGAGGGGGTCATTTTGAGCGCGCGACTTCCCTCCGTGTCCCTGCGCATGCGTCGTGTCCTCGCGCATGCGTCGTGTCCTCGCGCATGCGTCGTACGCGCACCCGCATCTCTCGTACAGATCCTACCAACACGACTGTCCCAACCCCACGCACCAACGACACGACAGCGATCGGCGCATTCACCGGCCGCATATTCACTCCACCTGCTATGCCAATCCTTGGCCTCTGGCTCTCTCTCCCTGTCTCTTTTGCTTCACTCCACACCATCACCGTAATTGTTCGCGTCCGGACGCGATGTTTCGACTGCCTGCTCTTGATCCCGAGTCGCCACAACTCCCAACCCACGGATCGGAACCCGCCGTCCTCTGGGCTCCTCTCTTCTTTTTAGTAACAGCTAGCCAGTAGCGAGCGAGAGCTATCAATTAGCCTCTCTATCTGCTTGAAAGCCGTACGTAGATATGGATGGAACAAGGAACGGGGGCCGGAGCGCTTTGCGTTCTTTTGTAATTGTTTCGTGTTCCGTTTTTTTTTGTCTACGACATTGGGTGGACACTAATGGGCATTACTACGGGTGTGGACCGAAGTAACGAGGGTATGGGCAACAGCACAGAAGGGCACTACAAGAACCAAAGATAGCGACAGCCAGGAGGCTGAATGCCCTCTGTCGACCCTTCGCAACCTTTCTCGCACGAAGAGGAAAGTGAGCGCTTTGACTTTTGTGTCTCCGATTGAGTTCTGAGGGGAGATAGGTCAGTGATTAACCCACACGACCACCAAGCAACGTCACATACTAGAAACCAGTCCACGACGGCCTGACGTGCCATTCACGTAGGCTCAGCGTCGCGTCCAGCCCAGTTTGAAAAAGGACTTCTATTCCCTCTTCGCGGGCCCTGCCAGGCCAGCTGGGGTCTAGAGAATTAGGATCCCGCACCAATAAAGCACATCGTGTGAGTGCAC